CAATCCTGTTCCAGGCCATGCCTGAAGCCATGTTTACATGTTTTGATGTGCAATAGGGTTGGGTGGGTGAGGGTGGGACTGGGCCCGGGTAGGTTCTGGAGACTGGTTGTCTTCCTTGCCTCTGGCTCAGCAGAGCCTAAGCACTGTGCTGTCCTGTGGAGGGCTTTGGACCACTGGAGAGACCAAGGGCGCAGGCAGGGAGAGGCTTGCGCTCATCAGCAATAAAGTTGATCCAGGGTTTCTTTGTTTTGTAAAGAGCTGGTGTCTGTGTCTATTTGAATACCCTTGTTCCAGCTAGTCCTGAGTCTACTAAGCAGAGAAACCTACCGTCCATTCCTTCCCCTCTGTCTGCATTCCTATTGCCCTGTGGGGCTGTACCTCTCCAGTCAGGCTTACAGCTCTGCAGAGGCTTGCTGTTCTTCCTATAGCTTAAAGTTGACTGCCTCCACTGTGCCGAGGTGGCCCACACTTCAATCCCAGCACTCTGGAGGCAGAGGCAGGCAGGAGGTCTAGGGATTTTTTTTTTTTTTTTTTTTTTTTTTTTTTTTTTTTGAGGCTACCCTAGTCTACATTGTAAGTTCCAAGGCAGCCAAGGTTATGTGTCTTTGTTTTTGGAAGCCTTGTCTTCCAAAAACCTCTAAAAAGTTGTCTAGTCTGGATGTTCGCTGCTATCTGGGGCTCTGTTTCTATATCTTGGGAATTGGGTTATGGGGCATGGCCCTAAGGATGCCATCCTATGTCCACCTGCACCTCCATCCCTGGCCCCCATATTCAACGCAGAGCGAAGGTGCCTGGCTGGCGGTGTTTTATTTCTACCTCAGAAGAACCTGGGTTCAGTCCAGTTTGTAAAAACTCAGTTCCTTCATGTCCTCTGTTGAGGGAAGGGACCAAGCTGTAGAGCTCTGTGTAACTTCAAAGGCCACCACCATCTCCCTCCTAGTTAGAACTACTGTTGTTTTGTTTAAGATGGTGTCTCACCAAGTAGCCCTGGCTGTCCCGGAACTCACTGTGTGGATCAGGCTGGCTTCAAATTCACAAAGATACACATGCCTCTGCCTGTTTGGTGCTGGGATTAAAGCTCACTTTTTAAAATTTCTGTTTTTATTGTTGGTTTTTTCAAGACAGGGTTTCTCTATGTAACAAGCCCTGGCTTTCCTGGAACTCACTTTGTAGACCAGATGAGATTCACCTGCCTCTGCCCCTTGAGTTCCTGGATCAAAGGGCATACTGTGCCTGGATCAAAAATTAAGTGACTGAAGTCAGAGAATATCGTGGTGTATGTGTGGAGTTCATGGGTAACTTTTGAGGAGTTAGATCTTCTACTGTGTGGCTCCCGGGGACTCAGGCTCAACAGATGCCTGTTGTGCTGGCCAGCCCTACTGACCTTTGCAAGTCCTAGGTCAAACCAGGGCCTCTTCCTGCAAGGTAGCTGCTCTACCACTGAGCTGCATTCCCTCCTCATGGCCATTTCCTTGTAAATGGATGTCAGATGCAAGAAAGCGGGGTTTTTTTGTTGTTGTTTCTGTTTGTTTTTATCCGTCTGGTTCTTGTTCTAATTCATACAAAATCTCTGCTTGCTAGCCTTGGAATTGGGTGATGGGAGGGTGAACATGGAATACAAAAAGGTGTAGATTCCACAAATACTTGCCAAGTGCAGTACTTTAAGCTAGACGGCCTTGAAAATACATGATAAGCGAGCTGGTACTGAAGAACAGCCTTATGACAGGGGCCAGATATTTTATTACTGCAGTTAATTGCCGTCCTACAAGGGGACATAGATCACAGTGTCAGGCCACTAAGGTAGGTTTTTGTTTTCGATTTGTAGTGTTTATTTTGCACAGGCATGCGCAATACACAGGCACCCTGATGGAGAGGTCAGAGGACAGCTTCCTTCAGTTCTCACCTTCCACTGTGTGGGTTCAGATTGGGATCAGCTTGTCAGGCTTGGTGGCAAGTGCCATCTCTCCTACCCTGTTTTGTTTTGAAACTGTCTCACACATAGCTCCAGCTGGCCTGGAACTCAATATGTAGACCAGACCAGGCTGGCCTCGAACTCACCGAGATCCACTTGCCTCTGCCTCCTGAGTGCTGGGGTTAAAGTGTGCAACACCATGCCCAGCCTTTAAAAATAAACAAAAACCTTTGGCCAGGTGTAGTGTTACACACCTCTAACCTCAGGAGGCAGAGGCAGGTAGATCTCTGCGTTCAAGGCCAGCCTAGTCTACACAGCCATTTCCAGGATACTTGGGACTTATTCATAGACCCTGTCTCAAAGGAAAAAAAAAATTAAAGACTTGTTTTTGTATGAATGTCTACTTGCATGTGTGTTATGGCACCGTCTGTGTGCCTGGTGCATTCTGGGCTCCAGAAGAGGACATCATACTCTGCGGAACTGGAATTACGGCAAGGTGTGAGCCGTGGAAACACAGGTCTCCTACCTGCTTAGCCTTTCCAGCCCTAAGAATTCACTTTTACTGCTTATGTGTGTGTGTATACACATGTCCATGGAGGCAGGAAGACAGTGTTGGCTCCCCGAGAGCTGAGTTAGAGTCAGTTGTGAGCCGGGAGATGAACCTGGGTCTTCTGAAAGCAGAAAGCACTCAAACCCCACAGCAGCTCTTCAGTCACCTGCGCTTAAGCTTTGAATTGGCTTTAACACTTTTTTGTTATGTTTTTTGAGACAGGGTTTCTCTGTGTAGCCCTGGCTGTCCTGGACTCCCTTTGTAGACGAGGCTGGCTGCAAGCTCACAGAGATTTGCCTGCCTCTGGGTCTGAGCTCTGGGATTGAAGGTGTGCACCACCACAACCTGAGGCTTTAAAGCTTTTGACTCATGTTTTATTTGTTTCTATTCTATGCACGTGAGTGTTTTGCATGAATGAATGTCTGCAACACGCGAGTGAGTTCATTGCCTGCAGAGGCCGGAAGAAGGTGTTGCATCCCCTAGCATTTGAGATACAGCTGTCGAGTGGGTGCTGGGAATTAAACCTTAGTCCCTTTGGAAAAGCATCCATACCTTTACAGTAGCAAACAGGGTTTGTTGTTGTCCTGGTTGCCTTTTGAAACAAGTCTAGACATACCTAGAAAAAGAATCATCCTTGAGAAAATACCTTCATAAATTTGGCCTGTAGGCAAAACTGCAGGGCGTTCTTTAAAAACAATTGATGTGAAGGAGCGAACCTACCATAGGTGGGCGGGGCTACCCCAGCAGGTGGCCCTGGGTGGCTAAGAAAACAGGCTGAGCAAGCCAGGAAGTACAAACCTGCTTTCTCCCATGGCCTCTGTTTCCGGTCCTTGCTCTAGGTTCCTAGCTTGAGGCTTTCACTTTGGATTTTTGTTGTTTTTATTTTATGTTGATGAGTGTTTCTTGGGTTGTGTGTGTGTTTACCATCTGTGTGCCCGGGCCCCGGAAGCAGACAAAGGTGTCAGCCCCCCAGAACTGGAGTTGAGGGTGGTTGTGAGCTACCTGTGGGAGCTGGGAACAGCACTTGGGTCTTCCAGGAAGAGCAGCCAGCGCTCCACTGCTGAGCCATCTCTCCAGTCCCTTCCTTAAGTTCTAGTCCAGACTTCCCTTCATGAATGGGCTGTGATTGGAACATAATGAGCAGGAATCCTTTCCTCCCCACGTAGCTTCTGACTATTGCGAGGAACTGACTGAAGTGATAGGAATTGCTGGGTTAAGTGTCCCTGAGGTGAGGCTGGGGTGTGAAGTAGATAGTAGATTCCCTGCTCCAGACGGTGGACTCGGGTTGGAAGGTGAAGAGAACTGGCCACCGTCCTCTGCAGAGCGGAACATCAGGTGTCCGCTCCCTTAGCAGCTTCCAAATGACAACTTACTCAAAAGTCAGGCAGGATGAAGAACGTCCGTATAACCCCAGCACCCAGCAAGTCTGAGGCCAGCATGGCTGCCTGTGAGGGTCTCAAAGGGAAATGGGGATATAGCTCAGTTGATAAGGTCAGGTGTGTGGGGGCTGGAGCGATGGCTCAGCGGTTAGAGCACTGGCTGCTCTTCTCAGGTCCCTCATGGTGCCTTATCACCATCTGTAATGGACTCTGATTCCCTCTTCTGGAGGGCATGAAAGCAGAGCGAGTACTCATATACATAACAGATATTTTAAAAAGATCAGTTGTGTACTTGCCTAGCATGTTTAAGGTCCTGTAAACATAAATTTTTTAACTTTGGGTTTTCTTTTTTCTTTCTTTCTTTCTTTTTTTTTTCAAGGCAGGGTTTCTCTGTGTGTAGTTTTGGCTGTCCTGAACTCACTTTGTAGACCAGGCTGGCCTTGAACTCAGAGATCTGCCTGCCTTTGCCACCCAGAGTGCTGGTGGGATTATAGGTGTGTGCCACCATGCCCAACTTTATTTTGGTTTTTCAAGACAGGTCATGTAGCCAGCTGTCCTAGAACTCACTTTGTAGACCAGGCTGGGCCCTGAACTCGGCACCGCACCTGGCCCTGAGGTTTTGTTTTCTAGGCGTTGGTGTTTGCTTGTGTATATAAATCTGTCCACCAATTGCATGGCCGGTGCCTGAGGAGGCCAGAGGACACTATTGGACTCCCTGGAGCCGGAGTTACAGAAGGTAGTCACCACGTGCGTGCTAGGAATCTAACTCCTGAGCCCTCACAGCCCTGGGGGCCCTGGTTTTGATCCAGCACCGCATAAACCTGGCATGGTAGCACATGAGTAATGCCAGCGCTGAGAAGCTGGAGGCCAGAGCAGAAGACATTCAAGGCCAGCCTTCTCTGGGAAGTGCGTCTGAGACCAAGCCTGAGCAACATCAGACTCAAAGACAAAGCAACAAATAAAAACAGGAGAGAAGGGGTCAACAGTGGCCCTTAGGTATCTGGCAAAGGCCGAGTGGACACAAAACTTGGAAAGTCATGGGCTTGAAAGGATGGATCAGCAGATAAAAGCACTTGTCACACAAACCTGATGAACCTGGGTTCAGTCCCTAGAACACACAGTGGAAGGAGAGAACGGGCTCCTGGCTCCTCCGCCACAGGCGTGCTGTGGCCTGTGCCTGCACACATCATGCACACACAGTGAGACTTAAGTCCCAAGCTGGACTGAGTGTCAAACTCTGTTCCCAAGAAGAGATAAAAACACCAGTGAAAAAACGGTCCTCTGAGATCCAGTCTTGGTTACAGGATGAGTGTGAACAGAGATCAGGGAGACCCGAGGAGGACCACAGAGAAGGGAGGCTTTGATTGTATGCCCAAAGGGCTTGGATGGCCTTGAGCAGAAATTGGAACTCAGACTTCCTGGATAACAGCAAAGGCCATGGCTTGCCAGAGCAGCCTTTGGGAGAGCAAAGACTAGCAGAGGGAGGTGGTTTGGTTCCTAATTTAGACTCGGAGGTAGAAGATGCTTATCCAGGCAGCCAGGACTGCAAAGCTCCAAGGATTTCCTAAGCAGGTGCCTCCGCGGTTTCCAGGATGGGACACACTTCAGCGGAGCCATGGAACAGTGGTGACCGCTAGATCCCCCGCCCGGGTGGGAGGGGGCGGGACAGTCCTGGGCGAAGGGCGGGGGGCGTGGCCAGGGACCACTTAAGGCGGAGTCGGGGCGTTTCTGAGAGCACCGGAGCTGGGCAGCCGAGACTGGCGGCGCTGGCACTCACCCTCCACCCACCTGCCCTGTAACGGTAGCCCATCAGTGGCAGGTTCCAGGTTCCCCGAGCATGTAGGCAGAGTTAGCGGCTGCCGAGTGTTGCGAGGCACGGGCGCAGCAGGCTCTCCGGAGCTTCTCCGGCTGTGGTGCTCTCCGGCTCCCGCGGAGATGCGCAAGTGACAGGAGAGCGAGTGAGGACCAGAACGCTCCCTTCCGACCCTAGCCCACGGCGTCCATGGCTCTGCCGGGCAGCCTGTTGCCCCTGTGCTGTTTGGCACTGCTGGCACTGTCTGTCCAGAGCTGCGGGCCGGGCCGGGGGCCGGTCGGCCGGCGGCGTTACGTGCGCAAGCAGCTTGTGCCTCTGCTCTACAAGCAGTTTGTGCCTAGTGTGCCCGAGCGGACCCTTGGCGCGAGCGGGCCAGCGGAGGGGAGGGTCGCAAGGGGGTCCGAGCGCTTCCGGGACCTCGTACCCAACTACAACCCCGACATAATCTTCAAGGATGAGGAGAACAGCGGCGCTGACCGCCTGATGACGGAGGTAAGGAGAGTTTCTCCCACCTGCTCCTCCGCGCGCCGCCAACTCCTCACCAGTTGGAAGATGAGCTTCATCCCTCAGAGACCCTAAAGTAAAGTAAAGTAAAGTAAAGTGAGACCTCCTTCACCATATCCTTCAAGAAAGCAAACAACCTGCTTGGCTGGATAGTGGTTTGGAGGTGTCCGAACGGGGAAAGGCTGCGATGGGAGGGGGAGGAGGAACTGGCTAGTGAGAGTGAATCTGGGAGAGGCTGGAGGGAGGGCGGGGAAAGGAGGATGGCGGCAGGCGAGACGGGAAATGGCTGAGGCGTGGACCGGGGGTCAGCCACCGAGCCAGGCAGGAAGGGCTGGGGTGAGCTGGGGGCCAGGAGCTGGCTAGGGAAGGTAGCCTACAGAAGGCTTTACCCTTAGCCTGGCTCTTGGCCTGATGTCCAAAAGCTCTGTGAGCCAAAAAGGAAGCTGGAAAAGAGATGGGCAGGAGTCAGGTGATCAGACCATCTACCTGAGAATGGGGTGGTCCGGAACGGTCCTTGGCATGGGAGAGGTGTCTTCAACCAGGACAGACCTGTACTAGGCTCTAGACAGCAGACTTTGAGTAAAAAGAGGACAGATGAACACACCTGAGAATCAAGGGTCCCTGAGCCATGGAAACCCAGCTTGGCTTGAGGACATTTGCTAAGCTCCGTATTGATTTAAATAACTAAAAATTAACAATGACTTTGCTAAGCTGCATTAACTCAAATAATTAAATCCAACGTCCATTAGCGGTCACCTGCTAACAGGTGGACCCTGGAGCTGCCAGGAGTAAGCTGCATCAGGTCTTGGAGGAGGAGGCGCCCCCCTGGGCTGTGAGAACTGAAAGGAAATCCAGAAGACACATTTCCCCACCCCACCACACCCCTCAAGTTCTATCTGAGAACTGGGCCCGGGAGGAAGAAGCCATTTAAGGCCTCACAGCTAGTCAGTAGCTAGCGTTGCTGAGATTAGAATTCAGGACTCCCAGTTCTGAGTCCTATATACTTTCCATTACACCACCTAATTGTGTGTGTGTGAGGGAGGAGTGGGAGAGGGAGGAGTACGGATTTCCTCTAACTGCCATAGTTTTCCAGGTTACTTTGTTAGGAAAACCTGTGCAGGGAAGAAAGAGCTGCTTCATTTATTTATTTATTTATTTATTTATTTATTTATTTATTTATTTAAGACACCGTGTAGCCCTGACAGGCCTGGAACTCATAGAAACCCTCCAGCCTCTACCTTCTGATTGCTGGGATTAAAGGTGAGAACCAATCGCTCCAAGCCAAGAATTTCTTCTGGCTCTAGTAATGAAGCCAATCCTCATTCCAGCAAATTGGGAAAGGTCATGGGGCATTGTGGTTCTTCTCTCTGGCTGAGACCTGCAACAGAGGGCTAGAACAAGGGATAGGCTCAGGAGCCTCAAAAGGCCTGGAAACCCCCCCCCGGCCCCCCAACACACACACACACCCAGTCTTGCTTATCTCCCACACCCAGGCTGCAAAAGGACTCCATTGAGTTGGCTCTGTACTGGGCTACTGCCCCCGCAGGTCAGGGCCTTCTTAGGGGACAAAATGACACAAAGTTAGAAAGAACTACCACTTGTCCAGCGGCCCTGCAGAGGTGAAGTTGACTAGAAAAAGAAGGGTAAGAGGTGAAATGTCCCTCTAGCAATCATGTAGAGCCCAAGATCGAGGAGAAAGAAAAAGAAAAAGGAGTTGTCTGTACTCCTGCGCCAGTGGTGTCCCCGGCTCTAGTGCGCCAAGGTCTCCAACTCCCAGACTGAAGCAGCCAAGATAACCGTGGCCTCCCTCCCCCGGGTCTGCAGGCCCGCGGCTGTGGCTCCTTTTCCTCCACTCCCACCCTGCGGGGAAGGGGGGGGTCCATTCTCAGGTGCTGTTGCTCCCACGCCTTTCAGGGCTGATTCTGGAAGAGAGACAGGAGAGACAGGGGCTCTGAGGATTGACACAGCAGTGGCAGGCTGGCCTCGCTGGGGGAGGGGACCCGGCGGGCGGGCGGGCGGGAGCAGGGATGTGGGGCGCGGCGCTCTGCCCTTTCCTCTCCCAGAGCCGGGGCGGCTGAAAAGCGTCTTTGTAGCGGGAGCTGCTGAGTCCGCTTCTCCCGACGCGCTCCCGGCCTCGGCCTGAGATTCTCGCTCAGTTAAGTCATCCGGGAGAATGGCCATTGTGCTCCGGGCAGCCCCCGCCACCCAGCCCTTTTTCCAGCAGCCCCGATCCCACGCGGCTCCTCTTGGGCACCTCTGTAGGGGCGCACCCAGAACACCAACGGGTTAATGCTAGGGGCTGAAAGGAGGAGGAGGAAGGAAGGAAGGAAGGAAGCGATGCCCTGTGCCAGGGAAGGCAACCGAACAAAAGATGAATCAGAGAGAGGGAGGGCAGCTGGGGCCCGGGGCGGGGGTCAGGCTCACACAGGGCTCCACTGGGGAGCCAGGCCCTCCCTAGCCCAGCTTCCACTCTCCTTCTCCACTGCGGTTCTCTCTCTGCTCGCGCAGAGGTCCTGGTCCTGGGGCAGATGGGGCTGAGGGCAAGCACCGACTGCGAGAGGGAACCAGTTAGCTCGCCCGCTCTCGTCCTTGAGGGGCTCACCCCACGGCTCCTGCTCCAAGCATGCCCGGCGAGGAAGCACCGCCCTCCCGAGAGCCTGGCTTCCCCAGGGCGCCCGAAGGCCGGAGGGAGGGGAGCGGGTCCGGAGGATAAAGATGCTCGGATGCCTCAATGGTCCCCTCCGCCTCGCCCCTCCCAGCGCGGGCTCGGTGCGGGGCCGGTGGGGCCGATGGGAAACCTGACCCCTTCCCCCCCCCCCCCCCCAGCGCTGCAAGGAGCGGGTGAACGCGCTGGCCATCGCGGTGATGAACATGTGGCCTGGCGTGCGCCTGCGCGTGACCGAGGGCTGGGACGAGGACGGCCACCACGCGCAGGACTCGCTCCACTACGAGGGCCGCGCCCTGGACGTCACCACGTCGGACCGCGACCGCGACAAGTACGGCCTGCTGGCGCGCCTCGCCGTGGAGGCCGGCTTCGACTGGGTCCACTACGAGTCCCGCAACCACGTCCACGTGTCGGTCAAAGCCGGTACGCGAGCGAGAGGCGGCGCGGGCTGCGTCCAGAGAGGCTCCCGGGGAGGCCGGGTCCGCGGCCCCCAGGCCACCTTGAGGGGGGCTAAGGGGCGCCACGGTGGGGCCGGGTCCCTGGGAACGGAACCGTCCCGGGGGCCGCCGAGGTCCGCCCCGGGCTAACCCTCCCCCGCCCCGTGTGCCTTGCAGATAACTCGCTGGCCGTGCGGGCCGGGGGCTGCTTCCCGGGCAACGCCACGGTGCGCCTGCGGAGCGGCGAGCGGAAGGGGCTGCGGGAGCTGCACCGCGGGGACTGGGTCCTGGCGGCCGACGCGGCGGGCCGGGTGGTGCCCACGCCGGTGCTGCTCTTCCTGGACCGCGACCTGCAGCGCCGCGCCTCGTTCGTGGCCGTGGAGACCGAGCGGCCCCCGCGCAAGCTGCTGCTCACGCCCTGGCACCTGGTGTTCGCCGCCCGCGGCCCCGCGCCCGCGCCCGCCGACTTCGCCCCGGTGTTCGCGCGCCGCCTGCGCGCCGGGGACTCGGTGCTGGCGCCCGGCGGCGACGCGCTCCGGCCGGCGCGGGTGGCCCGCGTGGCGCGCGAGGAGGCCGTGGGCGTGTTCGCGCCGCTCACGGCGCACGGCACGCTGCTGGTCAACGACGTGCTCGCCTCCTGCTACGCCGTCCTGGAGAGCCACCAGTGGGCGCACCGCGCCTTCGCGCCCCTGCGCCTGCTGCACGCGCTCGGGGCGCTGCTGCCCGGGGGCGCCGCCCAGCCCACCGGCATGCACTGGTACTCCCGCCTCCTGTACCGCCTGGCGGAGGAGCTCCTGGGCTGAGCGGCCGAGCGCAGGGGCCCTCGGGGCTCCCGACGGAAGCGAAGGCCCGAGCCGAGCCAGCCGGGACCCGCGGGGGACGCTGACTGGGAGAGTGGCTGCGGAGCGAGAAAGGCGGGCTGCGCTGGAACCTGGCTAGGGCGCAACCTTTAGCCGAGCGGCGCGGCCCCGGCTTGATAGCTGGGTTTGCTGGTAGGCGCTCCTTAAACGAGGACTTTTTATTTTGCATCTTCCCCAGCGCCTCAGTCCCACCCGATAATTTTATTTTCTATTTATAATTTGTGATATGATGATCTGCTTGCCCAGCCCACCGCAGCGAGGGCCTGGAGCGCGGCGCCGTTCACACGGTCTGACGCAGCCCGCCTGAGCCTCGCGCTGGCTCTCACATTTCCCTGCAGGCGCGTTAATAAAGGGAAGGCTTATCGGAAACCACCTTCACTCAGGTGATTCACCCCCAAAGAGGAGGAGGGAACCGGACTAGCCCGAGTGGACACTTTTCTTCCAACTCGCCCTTCTTTCTCAGCAGGATCCTCCAAACCCCTTTGCTGGAAAGGGTGTTCCAACCCATCAGCAACATCCTTTAGGTACTAGCCCCACCCCCACGGGACGGAACCAGCTTTGGGTAGGGCGGGGCTTAGGGGGACATGAAGACTGATGTGCAAAGCATCTGTTACCTGTTCTGGCCTGTCTCTATAGGTAGCCATCATCCCGCCTGCTGAAGCCGAACAGGTCTGAATTTTTTTTTTCTGGGGTTTTGCTAGGTCAACTGCTGAAGCATAGGTGTTCCTCACTGTCCACACGTCTGTCTGTGGCCTAAACAAAGATCCTAGGGTGACCAGGAGTGGTGGTCTAATTACAGGGTCACACGCCTGTAACCCCAACCCTCTGGAGATGGAGAAAGGAAAAAACAAAATCATGAGTCCAAGGCTAACCTGGGCTGTATAGTAGGGGAGAGAGAGAGAGAGAGAGACAGGCTGGAGGGAATAATTTCTTCGTGACAGCAGAGAACAGGTTTCCGCTTGGGTGTATCTGAGGTACATAGGGCTCCCGTCAAGTTCTGCTATCACAGTGTGGGTTTCTTCCTTATGTCCAGCGGCTGTTCCTGCTGGCTTCCCATCACTCTTCCTTCCCCTTCTCTTGTTCCTGGCTGTGCCTCTCTGGTTGTTTTGGATTCCAACATTGCAGACCCCTGAAATGCAGGTAGATTGATGTCTCTGAGCTAGGAGTGGGTGGGCCCGCTCTGAAGGTGGGTGTGTCGGACCTGAGGGGATGGTTGAGGGTTGTTGGTACTTCCAGGAACTGGATCCAAGCCTGCTACAACTGTTGTAAGAAGATTGGCTCTGCTCTGAGCATCCCAACCAAGGAAGTCCATGCCATATATACGCTGCCCTCTGGTGGCATTCCGGAGAATTCTAAGCCTAGGGACATAAGGCTCCCTTAGGTTCCTTCTGGAGCCCTCTGGACAGAAGGGAAAGGTATTGACTGGTGCACCAGACTTGCTAATGGGAACTCTCCCAGAAGGCAGAATCGATGCTTGGGCCTGTTACGCTTTTAGCGCTGTGCCGTGATGTCAAGACACGATAAGGAACCTGCTTGCTTCACTTTCGGTCCTTGGCTTTTTTTTTTTTTTAAACAGCCCTTGTGTCTAGTTCAGCTCTGTGGCTCTGGGAAGCCAGAGGCATAGATAATGGTGCAGAGTCCCTCACTCAGCAACCCTCAAGTCTCATGTTCTCAGAGACACAACTCGAGCAATACCCTTTCCTACTTTCGTTCTCACCAAACGCTTATCTGCCTCCCTCAGACCCTGAAACCTTTTTGTCTTCGCACCCAGGTGATGAGCAATCTGATAAGCTAATTAAGCTAATCAGTTTCCCCATGTCACCGGGCCACCTGTGTTCACCACCTTTCCTAAGTGCTACCTGGATCGAAACTGCTGAAACTAAGGGCTTTAACCGTAACGGCTGACCTGTGATGGCTGGTTAGCAACACAGCTCAGTAGTAGAGCATTAGCCTAGCGTGCACGGAGCTCCAAGTTCAATCCCCAGCACCACTGGAATGGCTATGTCTATATTTGGGGAGAAGACGAACTCGCTGGTCTTCATTAAATCACATTCCTGTAGGTTACTTCCCAGGCATTCACCTTCCCCCTCCAACTTCTCTCCTTGAAGCCCCTTCCCTCATTCTGTCCCCTTGAGGCCCCTCCCTTATTCTTGTCCCCTTGAGGCCCAGCTATCTAAAGAGTACACATGTGGCCTGCAAGCAGGTAAATGCACCATCACTTTGAAGCAGGTGGGCACACTGACTTGGGCACAAGGCACCTTCGAATGGCAGCAACTCTTTTCAACACAGGAACTGAACATTGTCTATCTTTGCATTCTTTTCTCACCGTGGTTTCTGCTTTCTGCTGTCTACTCCTTTGGCTACTCCACTAAAAGTATTGCTCATGCAAACTTAGGGGTTGAGTTTTGTTTTGCTTTTCAAGCTGAGTGTGGTATCTCACATCGATAATCCCAGCATGGAAGACTAAGACAGGAGGACTGTCTTGAGTTCAAAGGCAGCCTGAGATAGTTAGTGAGGCCCTGCCACAAACAAACCTTTTCTTTTTTTTTTTTTTTCTGGCACTGGTATTACACACTTTTAATTTCTACACTTGGGGGGCAGAGGCAGGCAGATCTCTGTGAATCTGAGGCCACCCTGATCTATAAAAGGGTTCCAGGCTAGCCAGGGCTAAACACAGAGACCCTGACTCAGAAACAACAACAAACCTTCCAAAACAAAGATCCAGATCTGGGTGAACCCCCACTTCAGGATCTTAGGTTAGAATCACAGCCTTGCCAGGTGTGGTGGCGCACGCCTTTAATCCCAGCCCTAGGGAAACAGAGGCAAGTGGATCTCTGTGAGTTCAAAGCCAGCCCGGTCTACAGAGTGAGCTCCAGGACAGCCAGGGCCTGAGAAACCCTGTCTCCAAAACACTAAAAACAAAAACCAAACCAAAACAAAAAAAATTTTTGGCTCTTGAGATGGCTCAGGAGTTAAGAAGAAAAAACTAAGCTTCTTTTGAGGCTTTCAGAAGATTTTGTGACAGCCCTGACAAAAACTCTACGTACAGGGTCGTCAGAGTGGGGGCCACCACCTTAAGGTTCAAGTGATCTTAAATCCATCCTTTATTCAAGCAAGAATTGCTGAACGTTTACAGGATAACACTGTGCACCAAAGATGGAGAAACCACATTCTTGGAGAAGTAACAATGTATAAATGCCTGGGCTAACTAAAGCAATATTATTATCTAGGATAAATCCAACTGGCAGTATGTACGGTATCACCGCAGGGAAGGCCTTGTGGGCAGAGGAGAGCTTGAATAGGGTTGTTGATGGGTGTATAGATGGGCAGGGCTGGAAAGGACAACTCCGGCAAGAACTTGGCATCTTTGAGGAGACACTGGCTGGTGATGTGTGCCTGAAGAGAGATGGCTCCATGATCAAGAGCTCTGGCTGCTCTTCCAGAGGATCCAGGTTCAATTCCCAGCACCCACATGGCAGCTCATGCCTGTCTGTCTGTAACTGCAACTCCAGGGCTTCTGACAGCCTCCCTCCCACACACATGTAGACAAAACACCAATGAACATAAAATAAGGTTTATATTTACAAAGACGGAGCCAGTGGGAAGAGTAATGGTATGTGGCTTGTGCTTACTGAGGACTCAGCGTGTCTTTGGCCGTGTCCTAGAATGGCACGTGTGTTCTCATCCAGTCCTCACAATATCACTATAAAACCACAGATGAGGAGCCCAGGAAAATATGTTTGCTTTCCTTCCCCCGCCCCTTATACATGGTCTTATTCTGTAGCCGAGGCTTAGAGGCCACTGTGTTGCTGGAGCAGCCTCAAACTCCAGGCAGTCCTCCTTCCTTCGGCTCCTGAGTGCTGGGATTTCAGGTCTGAACCAGCACATCCAGTTCAAGGCGCTACAGCCAAGGCATGGTAGAATGGGAAAGATGTCTATGAAAAAGAAGGGTGGGACCTTCTGGTGGGACCTCGTGCTCTGAAGCTGCTCTTCATTTTGCTTGTTCATCTCATTGCATTACTATAAAATCCACATAGCTTTCTCCTACCCCCTTAAAGTGGCAGGGACATTTTATTTAAAGTAAAGAAGTAGAATACACTGCCAGAGAGCAGTGGGACACGTGTGTGAAGATGCTCAAGGGACCTTCACAGCTTTTAAAAGAAAAAAGGTGTAGCGACTTATTATTTTCTGTGGATGAGTGTTTGCCTGTGTGTGTATATGTGTACTCAGGCATAATGGAGTGCTAATGGGGTCCAGAAGGGGGCACCAGATGGCCTTGTGATGGACTTACAGTTATGAGCCACCATGTGGTGCTGGGAACCAAATGAGGGTTTTCTGCAAGAGCAGCAGCTACCTATGACTTCTGAGCCATCTCTCCAGCGTGTGTGTGTGTGTGTGTGTGTGTGTGTGTGTGTGTGTGTGTGTTTCGTAGTGTGTGTGTGCCATGGTGCACATTTAGAGGTCAGGGAATAAGTTTTTAGAGTTGGGCTCTCCTTTAACCAAGCAGGTTCTGGGAATTGAACTCAGACGGTCAGGCTTTGCAGCAAGTGTCCTTTACCCACTGACCCGTTTACTCATCCTTATTTCTTATTTTTCTTTCTTTTGTGTTTTTGCTTGTTTTTTGTTTTGTTTATTTGTTTGTCTGTTTTTAGATAGACAGGGTCTCTCTGTGTAGCCCTGGTTGTCCTGGAACTCACTATGCAGACCAGGCTGGCCTCAAACTCAGAGATGCACTGATTCTGCCTTCCAAGGGCTAGGATTAAAGATGTGCACTACCGCCAGCCTGCTTCCTACTTCTTATTTTCATTGGCCCTTCTTCTTTTATGTTCAGTGGCTAGCTTCCTTAGTTAGAGTTGTATGGCCATCCAGGTAGGAAATATATATTGGCAAGCTAGTAAACCAATAGATAAAAGGGCAAGGGGACCGAGGACATACTTCAGTGGTAGAGCACTTGCTGAGCACACGCAGAGCTCTGGGTGTGAGTCCCAGCGATACAGTTCTCTTTGGACATAGCTCTGCAGTGTGCTGAATGGACAGGGCTGGGAAGGAAGTAGCTAAAGCTAAGGGAGCTGGAGGGCGTGGTG